TTTTCCAAAGCTTTTTTTTTTTTTAAATGGTAAGGTTTTATTTATTTTTTCAATATTTAGGTGTGTTTTCATGAGATCTAATGCTTTCCTGTAGTAGCATTGATATACCTCCAAGCTGTAATCATGCATTTTCAGATTGTTATATTGTCATTACAAATCTCATCATCCTACTATTGATTTGCTACCTGGACTGAATTCAGTTTGTGTTTGAAAAACGTTCTGATGTTTTATCTTTTCTGTTTCTTTTGTTCAAGTAGATGATTGACAGAATATGTGTAAAAGTACAAGATCATCTCAACTCTTTAAGAAACTGTGGTGTGGATGCTGTACAGGAAGATGTCAAATCTGCAGAACGGCTTATGCGGGATGCAAAGAACTCCAAAACAGTAAGCCTTTCCCAGTGTACTGGTAAAACTGAGAGCAGTTCAGTGTGTGCTTGAAGCTTTTATCTTTTTGTGAGAAAATCTCTTTAGCTGAGAGATTTCCTCCTTTTGCGTAGGTTTAAAGACAGGTAGTGATGAGCCTGCTTTTCTGAAGATATTCTTTCTGTCTTACAGCTCTTACCAAATCTGTACCACCTCGGTGGAGCTTCTTGGGCGGGAGCAAATGGTTCACTCTCCAATCCAATCCAAGAGACGCTTGAATCCATGGCTGGAGAAGTCACAAGGGTTGTGGATGAGCAACTTAAGGTCTGTGGATAGATGTGTACCATCTCTCACATGCAGAAATAACTAAATCCGTTATCTTCTGTTTCTAAATGCAAATGTGCCACACGTTTGTTTTGTTTTTTTTTTTCTTTTTACTACTTAGTGTATTTTTGCGTACGCTATCTTTTCATTATTAGTTTCTTATAACTTCGTGCTTTATTATCTGGATACTTGCCTGATTGGAATGAAAAAAGTTGCTTAAATGTTTACTGTGGGCAGAAGGAGCATATACTGTTTATTATCTCATTTTATCTTCTAGAAGGGGGAGACTTATCAATTGCTCCTTAGGCCCTTAATAAAGACATCTCTCCAGAACCCTGAAAAGTTTCCTGCCCTGGAGGAAAGTACTCACTAGTTAAGATATCCTACTGGAGTGAAATCTGGTTTTCTGTGGACTCCTTTGCAGAATTTATTTCCCAGTGACTATCTTTGAATCTGGTGCAGAATTTCCACTTTAACTGTTTAGTTTGAATAACTTGTATGTATTGAGAGTGCCCCAAGAATTAGTACAGGCAGCTTTACAGGAAATCTTCCCAAAAGTTGTTTGTCAAACCTCAGTTCTTGAAATAGATGTCATTGATCTGTAAATATTCTCACCTGTGTGTTCAGCCAGCTCTTGCTCAGAAACTTCTACCTTCAATTATGTTAGATCTTACTGTATAATAACCAAGGAAGAGTCATCTGTACAGCATGTGCAAAGGTATCAGTCCAGGAAGAAGTGAAAGGGGGGAAACTTAGCAACTCTTGGGATCTGTATGGAAGCTGATGAGTTTAAGAATATGGTTCTGAGGCAATTCAGATCGACTTAAGTTTATGACTAAGCTACCTTGCCTGTGTTTTGCTATATTTAAACTTATCAAAGAATCTGAAAGTGAAAGTCAAGCTTTCAGTTGAAACAACATGAAAATGCTTTAGTCAGTGAGGAATATAATGAAGAACAATAATAATACTGCATTACTAATTACTTTTTCAAAATTAAAAAGTTAATGAGGAGGAAAATGGTGCTGAATTTTTAGTATTTTCCTCCCTTTCCCCATTATATGAAATAAGATGAAGATTCTTTATCACTTTTTTTAATTTCTACAGATGTAAAAGTGATTTATCTGCAAGATTCTTCCCAGTGGAGCTTCTAGGCTATTACTGGGATGAGAGTAGTCAGGTCAGCCCTCAGGTCAGCACTTAAATAAGTCCTGTGCATTTTGAAGAGTCTTATAGAAGGGAGGTTAAAAAAAAAAAAAAAGCGTTTTCAGCATTTGGAATGTTATTTATAGTTCCTGGCTTATGATTGAGTTAATGGGTCTTCCATTTGTGCTTTTACACATTTACAGCAAAAGGCACTTTAGCTCAACCATTCTGACTTTTACATTTACTTTTGATTTATGTGGGGTTAAAGTTTAAGTGCCTTATAAGAAACTATAAAGCCATAATGCTCTGTGTATATTGTAACACTTGTTTTTATTAATTTTACTCTCAAAGCCGAAAGGTTTTCCTTTAAGTTCTATGGCATGGTACTTTGCATGGAGGAGAAAATGTTGAACATGGATTAGGATTTTTTTTTTTTCCAGTTGTTTAGGTCAATATGCAGCTTATTTGTGAAGATAGATAAAGAAGCTCACATAAGTACAGTTCTTTTTGATATTGTGGGGGGAAAACATCTGGTGTGCTGTAAGTGAAGTTTTGATGTTTAGCTTCCATAGCAACCAGAGTCTGATTCTAGAAAGAAGTGTTTGGAAATTGAGTAAAGCCAATGAACACTCTTCAAGCAAATAAGAGATTTTCTTATTTTTTTTTTAACCTCAAAGAAGGGAAGGGGAGGGAAGGAAGAAGTTAAAATAAGGAAAAGCAACGTCTTGGAGTGAGTTGGCCAAAGGAGAAATTATATCAAGGCCCTTGCATTTCTCTTCTCCTGATGGTGTCACTGTGGACACACAGGACCCAGAGATGCTTTATTCGGTCGGCAAAGGCCCAAGGGAAAATCATAGGCAAGACAAATGGTGCTTAGGCAAGAGAAGATTGTTTTGTAAGGATAGGAGTGCTTGATCTGTTCCTCCTAAATTCTGTCCTAGTGCAAAGGTTTTGTTTGCTCCATCACCTTTTTCCATTTTTTCTTTAGATATCATCATCTCCAGTCTTTTTACTCACTGTATCTTTCTTCTGAATGTTAAGAGTCATTAATTGTGTGCAGGAATTTGTTCTCTTCTTTCTCTATGCCTGCTCACTGGCACTTGTAGCCTTGTGACTGAAATGTTTGCTCCTCCACAGTCATTATTTTTAGCTGTGAGTTTCCATCACTGAAAAGTTTGGGGATGGAAGTAGGGACCAGGGAACGGTTTCTGTAGATGTGATAATAAGTCATGTGAAATCAACAGTTGCAATCCCACCATTGAAGAAATTATGTTCAGTTGTGCACTTAAAGAGGAGATCCAAAAGATCCAAACTCTATTTAACTTTTAAATTAGACATGCTCTGAGTATTTTGAGTAAAAATTAATTTTGAAATTTTCAGGCAAGATCTTTAGTCTTTTTGCCTGCTTCTCATTGACACCTTCATGCAGCATTTCTTCACGTGATCCATTTTGAAAGACCATGCTTAGACTGCAGTTGCAATTCAACATAGCAAGCCTTTATAACTTTTGTGATTGTGATCCATCAGTAACTCTTGGGAGGCTGAGTGTGATTTTTGCAAGGTAGACTACACAGTTGCACCAGTGAATAAATGCCATGGGGAAAAAAAAGATGTGTCAGAAATTCTCATTAGTAGTTTACCTGGCTCAGTTGTCTCTACTGTTCCTCTGTGTGGATATGGCTGCAGGGGATTGAAAGGCTCTTTGTTAGTGTTACAGCCCCAGAATGTGCTTGGGGATTGAAGGAGGGAGTGTGGGATGAGTCCGTTAAAGTGCAAGAGCTTGGGAACCCAAAAACAAGGTCCATATTAACTATAATGGCAGCTGTCCCTAACACCTGTAGATCAAATGTTGTAAAGATTGGACTTCCCTATACGCTGTGGCTGCTTCGTGCTGCTGTGTTGTCCTTATGAATCTACACTTAATTTGTCAGTCAGTTAAGAGCTGCAGACGAAAGGTGCTGCTTTGAATCATCAAAACTATTGTACAGTAATGATATTTTTGTTTCTTACTCAGTATCTACATATGAAAATTGCCAGTTATGGTACGGATATACAAAGAGAAAGCTCTGATGAGATGAAGTTCATCCTGATGTCACTTACCTGTGGAGTGAGGTTGAGAAGAAAAAGGAAATCAGTAGAATTTTCAAGGGGTGCAATTAATTATTTTTGTACAGTTTTTAAGCTCCTAGGTTAGAGCTAGGCTTGATGAAATTATGGGTTTGTTTCTTTTTATTTTTGAGTACCTTTCTCTGTTTGGTTATCAGACTTCAGTCTTACAGGAGACGACTTAGTCCATTTCAGTAAATTGGGCTCTACTCCACTTGCTCGGAGGATGCAAAGTTGGGGAAAATGGGTCTTGCACATACACTGAAGCATGAACCAAGGACAGCATCTTTATTCTCGCTGCCACCTTGGAAGCGCTGTAGCCTGAGGAGACCCCACCATCACTGGAATGCAGCAGCGTGACACCTTCAGCGTGCAGAGGGACCTGCTGCTGGAGAGAACCATCTCTTTATTGATCTTTACTAAGTAGCTCTTCATGCCGGGAATGGGTGTAGAGGGTTTACTTTCAGATACTGTATTAATGAGCCTTGACCTCTTACAATCACTGAAACAAGTTATTTTATGAGAAATTAATTAGTGGTTGAACAGCCTTCTGAAGACACCTGAAATAGATTTCCTGAGTTGCTGGGACCTGAGATGGAGTAAGGTGGATATAGGAGAGAATTTGAAAAAAGAACAATTTCCAGTCATGTCAGAAAATACTGCTTTGTGTTTATATATCTGTTTTACTGTACAGAGGGTATGTATCAACATATGGATAAAACAGTATGAATTTAAAATTTAGATTTCCAGATGACCAGCTGATTGTTTTGTATCTTGTCTGGTGCTACCTAAACTTTTTGGATAGAAAAATTGAAAGCGATTAGAGAAAGATGTTTCTGTGGTATAGAGCACTAGCAGGGTTTCTATGTCTCATCCTGATCCCTATGTGTGTACATTTGAGTTTTCCTGCACTTTTTGTGACACAAGTTCATACATGGATGATTATGTGAGGGACTGTGAGCCCTCACCTGTGCGTGTAGTGAGGGCTCTTTAGCCTTCTAGTCAGAGCTGAGGTTTGGAAAATAAACCAGTCGATGATAAAACAGGATTTAAGCCAGAATAATAATAGCATTGAAGTATACATGAGAGATTTGTCTAAGAGGGAAGAAGTTGGCTTTATACTGTCAGCAGGGAAGACCGTGTTTTAAGAAAAAGAAACTTGAGGGGGTTGGGGGGTTACGTGGTCCTGTTTCTGGAGCGTGTATGGTTTTCTTCTGTCCTGATTTGGGGTTTTGATCAGTCGTTAAAAAAGAATTGAAATTGTTGGCTGCACCTAAGGTTCACAGTGGACTTCCATGTACGTAAATGAGATCCGTATATCAAAGGTTTGAGTGCCGCCTGCAAATCATACTTGTAGCTATTTCTTAGTATTTAACTAGTATATTCCAGCCCTGTACAGCATGTCAAGTTCTCATGAGTCTGCTTTTTTCATATACTGATGCCTCTTACAAATTGACAGGTCTGGAGCATGAATGAAAATTGCTGATTCAGGGCACAGTTTAGAGCAAAGGCAGCTGCAACAGAGCGTCCACTGCTGTTGCAGCATGCAGGGGCAGCAGTGGTGGGTGCACAAGGGAAACTAATTTATTGTTCTGATAATCAAACTCGCAGAGTTGCAAATGTTTCATATTTGAAAAGGCAAAGTACAGTTGTGGGTCGTTTTCAAAACAAGTATGTTGTTCCTCCTCAGCTTTGTTTGGTAAATTACCTTTTATATTGCAGCTGCATTGCAAAATGAATTGGAAATTAGGAAGAAAAATTGTAAAAATTACAAGTCTAAAAGTGTCGTAGTGCTATGCACCAGAATAACGCTGTCATCTTCCAGGTAATGAAAATCTCAATACCTGATGTTAGCTTTTGATTCCTGCAGACGCTGCTGGAATCTATGGTGGATGCAGCGGAGAACCTTTGCCCAAATGTAATGAAGAAAGCTCGCATCCGTGAAGATCTGATTGAGGCTAGCACTGAGAAGATTTCCATCCCACGCACTTTTGTGAAAAATGTCCTGTTGGAGCAATCTGGAGTTGATATCCTCAATAAAATTAGGTATTTATGTTTGTGTAGTAAAAGATTTTTTTGAATGCTTTTGTGACTCACAAGAAACCATGTTAAGGCATTCAAAGAGCAGGAAATTGTCTCACAGGTCTGGTGAACTTAGTTTAGGAGATTCAAATATTTGGAATCTCCAGGGATGTTAATTTGATCATTAATGCACGTGTTTCTATTTTATTTAGTAAGAGTTTTGGTTTATGGTACACAAACAACATTTTAATGACGTACTTTTTTTTTTTAAAACCTGTTGATGTTCTGAGGTAACACTGAATTACTGTAATAGAAGGAAATTGCACCTACTTGCTTTCAGGGTTAATAGTGATTTGTCTGTTGCTGTATTTGGTCTTGTCCTGTAGCTGTAGCACGTTAAACCTTTTTGTTTGCGTGGGAGTTGTGCACAGCAGAGGGGCATACTCAAAAAATCGAAACTTGGATATTCAAGCCACAAACCTGGAGCAGAAACAGTTACCCTAAACAACGCTTGGTTCACTCTTCAGAGGAAAAAAAAAAAAAAGAGGGGAAAAAAGAGGCTTTTATCTGACATTTTACTGCATCTTTTTTTTCATATTAAATATATACTAGAGAATATATTTATGCAATATAATGTAGTTGACCTATACTTAAACCTTTGCGGTTGCTGCTATTTGGCTAAGGAATCCTTTCTGCTTGATGGAAAAGCATGTCATTTTTCATTGTGATGCTAATGTCTTTGCAGAAGAAGAAAACAGTAAGACTTAGAAATTAGTTTTGCAGAGTGCAGCAAAATTGGCAGGAAAAGGTGTTAAAAGACTTTAGCTATGCCTTCAGAGTGTTTAAAATGGTTCAGGGAGTGAGTTTTTTCACTCCAGTCGTATCAAACAAATCTTGACCCTGAGACAATAATAGTGCCCCTTCCACCTGTAGAAACTGCAACTGTCAGTGGGGTGAGGGTACCACACTGTTACCCTTCCCACCTTATATTATTTGAAATTAATAGGTAACTGAGGAAAATGCCTTCACTCTCATTTTCTTCCCACCGTGGCTTGGCCAGTGTTCTACCTCCCTATGAATTGTGTTGCCTTTCCAAGAAGTTTCTTACCTTTTTCCCCAGGCTTTCTGCAGCAGTAGTGCTAGCCCCAGATGGAAATAGCTTTGTTAATCCAATGCAATTCAGCCCACACATAAAAACTTTACAACAAAATCATGTTACTTGCTAACAAATGTAAGTTGAAGCAGTTGGCCTTGAAACCTTAGAGGCAGGAGAGAGAGCGCTTCGGGATGAAGTTTGGATTTATGTGCTTGTCAGCTGCAAATCAACTGTCCTCCACAGCCTGAGCCTTTTGTACTGTGGCCAAAGATGGGACCCCAAGGGAGCAATTCAAGGTACACATTTCCTTAGTAGGGAGTTACCAGTGAAACCTCAGTTCAGTGAATGGGGTGTGTTGGTGTTTCACATACGTCCGTATAATGGGAATGGCTGACATGAAGTTCTTGAGACAAAAGTGGTTACCTAGAGCAAAAAAGAGGAAGGGAAGTTCCGGTGACAAAGGCTAGACAACCAGTGGTGTACAGTTGTCCTTCAACTGGCAGTGGATTGTAGTAGTTCAGTGTACTAGTGTTAAACAGGCAGCACTGTCTTAATCTCATTCATCCGAGGTTCGTGTTTCTCTGACTTCAGTGGCAGAGTGTTCCTTGCTGAGTTTTACACGTGGTTTTTATTCAGCTCTCTTACCCACCAGATGTTTTCATTTCAGCTCTTAGAAAAATGTTAGAAGCAGGTTAAATATGGTACAGAGGCTCTTGTGTTTATTGTGTGATTCATGAGTTTATTTCTGAAAACTGCAGACACCCTCTAATGTTTTACTTCAAATAAAGTGACAGCACTGTGGATAATCGTTGCACTGTTGAACACGTAATAAAGACAAAATTCTTCTGCGTGAATTAAAAATTTCTCTGTCCCGTTTTTATTCCTCACATAGTGAAGTAAAGCTGACAGTGGCTTCTTTCCTGTCTGACCGAGTTGTAGATGAAATCCTGGATGCACTTTCCCATTGCCATCACAAACTGGTGAGTATTTGCATGCTTGATATCTGAATATGCTGAGTGTCTTAACAATGCCATTTACACTCACAACTTGTTCAGTTTCTCTGTAGAACAGCTCTGTTTTGAAATTGGTCTTATTTTCATTGGCATTACTGACATCATTTGAAATATGATCACAGGACTCTTGGCTCTTTGCTTTAAGGAAGATACGACCCTGGAAGAGACTGCATTATATGTTTGTCCTGTTATCTTTTGCACTATTGTCAGATCTAAAACTAAAAATGCCATCGGGATGCAACATTGAGTCGTTAGTTAAGAACAGTGCCAGTGCTTGTCCTGGTGAGATGGTAAGGGTTGGTTGCTTGTGAAATGAGAGGTAAAATATCATTCTTTAGAGGAGGGACTGCTTCTCAGCAGTTATTCTCTGAATGAGTATATCTTGAGGTTACCCCAGAAACGTAGGTATCAAGTTTGAAGAAAAAGGAGTAGAAACATAGGAAAGAAAATACTTTGTTATTTGAAGGTACTGAGCTGTCAGGTGGCACAGTTATTTATTATATAGGTACTTGCTTCATTGAGAGTGGAAGAAATAAACAACTGTGTATCCACAGAAAAACATTTTTACTTCTAAGGCAATGGGCCTCTGTAAGGAGAATCCAGTACTGGTTCGTTGTTTTGAAATTTCTCTGGCTTCAGCTTGCAGTCATGAATTTTTTCAGATGCTTTTCCCCACACGATAAGGGAACCATATATCTTTCTCTCTATTTCCTCTCTATGAAAATCCTTATACACAGAAAACAAATCACTCTTTCCCACCCTCCCCTTTTTTTTTCTTTTTTTTTTAAATAAATTAAAAGGCTGGTTTATTCAAGGGTGTGTCTTCATGATACAGAGCAGCATTGTGTAAAGATACAACCTCTGGTCTCAAGAGCTATGCAGCAGCATCAGCGTGCTGTCTGAGTGGCCACATTAATCAGCTCCAGTTGGTCCTGGAGCAGGCTCAGCTGGCATGAGCAGTGGGCGGTCTCTGTCCAGTGATGTTGCACAACTTGGACATACCTGGATTTTTGCACAGTAAGCCTTTGAGTCATTTTAGTAACAATCCTCTGCACTTTCTCCAGCTGTTTTAAAAGATTCTTTTAAAAAAATGGTTCCCAGAACCAGACAGACTATTCCAGTGTTTTAACCAACACCATATACAGGAGTGAAATTGGTTTTCTCCTGACATTCTTTACTCCTCATATTTACATAGCCAAGGAGATAAGAATTCCTTCCTTTTGTCAGACTTTCAGTGGTAGCTCATTTTCAGGACTGGGTTTGCTAGATCTCCCTCCCAGTAATGGCTTCTAGACACTTGACACTTGCTGCTTTTCAGGATTGTGTCCATAGCTAATTGCCAGTGCTCTTGGTTCCTATGGAATCTTTGGCTGTATATTTGATTTGAGTTGATTTACTTTGTGATCCATTTTGGCCTGCGTCAATAACGTGTCCTTTTCACTGTTTAAGTCTCTTATGTTTCTGTTAGCTACAGATTATTTCACATAGTATAGCACTGATGAAAACATTGAAGAGTACAGATCTCTAAAAAGATGGTAGAGGAACTCCTGTCTAATTTGTCAGTGTTAATCTTCAACTGACAGCTGCGATCTGAGAGCTGGCAGCTAGTTCTGAATACAGCAAAGATTAAACACAGTTACAGTTCTGTGCCAGCTCCTTAAATTGGAGGTGTCACCTACTACTAATTCAGCCACCTACAAATGCCTGTGTGTGTTTTATTGACACAGCAATGTTTAAGGCAAATTTGAAAAATAAACCATGTTTTGACAAGACCTGAGTTTGCATAATGTGATGATGATTAGCATTAATTATTATTCTAGCCATTTTAGTGTGATTAAAGATAAATCCATAACAGCTCTTCAGTTGTTTTTCCTGAGTAGACACTGGACTAAGTGAGCTATAATTGACTTAGGTCATCTGTTTACCCTTTTTGGTGGTTAACAAAACTACAGTCCACTGGTTGTCTGGAGTTGTGCTTATGTTAAGCAGTGGACTCCCTAGCTGCCTCTTTGAAGGCTTCTGTGACTAACTGATTTGGGCCAGCTGATCTTCAAATACTTGCTTTTAACAGATGTTATTTAATATTCTCTTTAGTTCCCAACAGAACTAGAAAATATGTTATCATTTTCCTGAAAATGTAAACCCACTCCATTCCAAGTACAATCCAGGGTGGTTCATATAACATTGTCTGTGTTCTTGGTAGCAGTTTTTGCTATGCAAGTCTAAAAATGGATTTTATTATTATGAGAGTTTTTTTCTCTCTGATACTTTAAAAAACTGTGTCCTATCCTATAGATCTACCAATGATGAATTTTTTTCTTTTTATGATAACTCCTACCTATTTCTTCAGTGAAACAGAACTGAGGTATTGAACAAAACTGGTTTCGGAATAATGAGTGATAACATTTTGGCCATCAGATAATTATATTAGCTAACATTATACATGTCTTTGTGTTATTTTATTAAAAAAAAAAAAAGAAGAAAAGGTCTAGGACAAAGCTTCTCATCCATCCCTTTATTTTCTTTACGGTAAAGACAGGACAACTGCTGATGAAGCCCCGTAATACTATTGTAAGTCAAAAGTAGGATGGCTTTTTATCTGACCTTTTTCCTTTTCTTTTTTTCCGATTATAGTTTTTCCCTTCCTTCTTAGAATGTGCGATGGAAGGGGTTTTCCATCCAAAAAAAGAGGGAAAAAAAAAATCAAACAAACCCTGTGTGAAGATTAACACACATAGCTGAGCTTTGCTTTTGTAGTTGGTCTTCTAGGATCTATGATCACTTAAGTTCTTTAAGGTTTCTGGTTATGTTTGACTTGCCTTTTTTAACAGTTTGCTTAGTGCGTTCCTGTCTTTATCCTTGCCTCCAGGCTG